AATGGTTTTGTTCTTTGTTCTTAATGGTTTTGTTCATTTTGTGCACCTATGTATAAATATATACCTATGTTTTGAATTTTAAAAATCATATTTTATTTTTCCAATTAAGAAGGGTTCGGTGAATGCGCATATGAAACTGGTGGGGTTCAGTACCTCCAAAAAGGTTAAGAACCACTGGATTAGATTATACCTCATATTGTATTCATTCTCATGTTATACCCCGTATTATAGCTGATTATACCTCATATTATACCCCGTATTACAGTTTATTATACATTATATTATATCTCACATTATATTATATTTTACGTCATATTATATCTCATATTATATTATACCCCACATTATAGTATGTTATACCTCATATAATACCTTGCATTATGTTCAATCTCATGTCATACCCCACATTATAGCTGATTATACCTCATATTATATCTTATATTATATTTTATGTCATACTATACCTTGTATTATATTATACCCCACATTATAGTACAGTGAGGAACAGACGTATATGAACCCCCTGCGATTTTGCAAGTTCTCCCACTTAGAAATCACGGAGGGGTCTGAAATTCACATTGTAGGTGCATTCCCACTCTGAGAGACAGAATTTTAAAAAAACAAATTCAGGAAATCACATTGTATGATTTTTAAAGAATTTATTTGTCTTGCACTGCTGAACAGAAGTATTTGAACACCTAAGAAACAGCAAGAATTCTGGCTCTCAAAGACCTGTTACTGTGCCTTTAAAAAGTCCACCTCTACTCCACTCATTAATCTAACTTAGTAGCACCTGTCTGAGCTCTTTAAAGACACCTGTCCACCCCACAGTCAGTCAGACGCCAACTACTACCATGGGCAAGACTGAAGAGCTGTCAAAAGACACCAGAGACAAAATTGTGGACCTCCACAAGGCTGGAAAGGGCTACGGGGAAATTGCCAAGCAGCTTGGTGAAAATAGATCAACTGTTGGAGCAATTTTCGAAAATGGAAGAGGCTAAAGACGACTGTCAGTCTCCCTCGGACTGGGGCTCCATGGAAGATCTCACCTCGTGGGGTATCACTGATGATAAGAAAGGTGAGGAATCAGCCCAGAACTACAAGGGAGGAGCTGGTCAATGACATGAAGAGAGCTGGGACCACAGTTTCAAAGGTCACTGTCGGTAAATACACTACACCATCATGGTTTCAAATCATGCATTGCACGGAAGGTTCCCCTGCTCAAGTCATCACATGTCCAGGCCCGTCTGAAGTTTGCCAATGACCATCTGGATGATCCAGAGGCGGCATGGGAGAAAGTCATGTGGTCAGATGAGACCAAAGTAGAACTTTTTGGTCTAAACTTCACTCGTCGTGTTTGGAGGAAAAAGAAGGATGAGTTGCATCCCAAGAACACCATCCCTACTGTGAAGCATGGAGGTGGTAACATCATGCTTTGGGGGTGCTTTTCTGCAAAGGGAATAGGACGACTGCACTGTATTAAGGAGAGGATGAATGGGGCCATTTATTGTGAGATTTTGAGCAACAACCTCCTTCCCTCAGTCAGAGCATTGAAGATGGGTCGTGGCTGGGTCTTCCAACATGACAACGACCCGAAGCACACAGCCAGGATAACCAAGGAGTGGCTCCGTAAGAAGCATATCAAGGTTCTAGAGTGGCCTAGCCAGTCTCCAGACCTAAATCCAATAGAACATCTTTGGAGGGAGCTGAAACTCCGTGTTGCTCAGCGACAGCGCCGAAACCTGACAGATCTAGAGGAGATCTGTGTGGAGGAGTGGGCCAACATCCCTGTTGCAGTGCAAACCTGGTCAAGGACTACAGGAAACGTCTGACCTCTGTAATTGCAAACAAAGGCTTCTGTACCAAATATTAACACTGATGTTCTCAGGTGTTCAAATACTTATGTTCAGCAGTGCAAGACAAATACATTCTTTACAAATCATACAATGTGATTTCCTGAATTTTATTTTTAAATCTGTCTCTCAGAGTGGGAATGCACCTACAATGTGAATGTCAGACCCCTCCATGATTTCTAAGTGGGAGAACTTGCAAAATCGCAGGGTGTTCAAATACTTCTGTTCCTCACTGTATGTTATACCTCATATTATATCTTATATTATACTTTGCATTATATTATATTTTACGTCATACTATACCTTGTATTATATTATACCCCGCATTATAGTTTATTATACAGTACATTATATTATATTATACCTCGCATTATATTATATTTTATGTCATATTATTCCACGTATTACATTATACCCTGCATTATAGTATGTTATACCTCATATTATATGTCATATTATACCTTATAATATAAGGCTTACATTATACCTCACATTATATTTTATATCTCGTATTATATTACAATATTTTATATGTTATACCTTGCATTATATTATACGTCGAATTATACCTCATATTGTATTATATCATGTTATATTATACCTTATATTTTATGTATTATACCTCAAATTATAATTGTACCTCATATCATATATTATATCTTGCATTATATTATATAATACCTCATATTATATTTTATTACTGTATACCTCATATTATCCCTCGCATTATATTATATTACACCTCATATTATCCCTCATATTATATTTTATTACTGTATACCTCATATTATCCCTCGCATTATATTATACTCATATTATATTATACTATACCTTGTGTTTATTATACCTCATAATATACCTTGCATTAGATCTCAAAATATATAATATTATGCCTTGTATTACATTATTTTATATTACATTATACCTCATATTGGGTACAATTCACTAAAGCTTATTGCATGAGTTAAGTCAGATACATGACCACATATCGCATGCGATACTGAAAATGTCAATTCACCATTGCTAGTATGCGGTATTTACCTAAAATAGCAAAAACACTCAGTAAATACCGCATAAAAAGACCTTAAAGTCAATTCACAAAAGGAAATAAATAATTAAATGCATGCAGTAATGAAGTAGTGGTCCAGGCTTGAGGTATGCACTGGTATCTGTCAGTACTGTCATAGGTTGTTAAGGAATGGGTGGCCGCCGAGTCCCTAACAACCTATGAGCCATCAGCTGTCAGCGGGGTTCCCCACTGACAGCTGAATGTAAATAAATAAATAAATCGCCGGCAATTAAAAAATAATCCGTACCAACATCCAATCCAGACCTGAAGGGACCCCCATGCTGAAATTTTAAAAAAAATGGGAGTGGGGTCCCCCCCAAAATCCATACCAGACCCTTAGCTCCCCCCCCCCCCCTCCTGAACCATAGCAGGTCACATGCCCTCAACATGGGGGGGTGGGGGGGAAAATCACTAGGTTCTCACAACTGATCACACACGGGGTGCATTCACACTTATGAATGCATGTTAACACCTCACCACCTTAACGTCTTCCTAACATCCCACCAGCTTACCTCCCCATACACATTCTGGAGCTTCCTGGCGGTATCTCTGGGCATGGATGGTGAGCTCCCCTTCTACCTGGAGTTTCACCATCAGCTGGCTATAGACATGCTCCGCCTCCTCCTCGCAGCTCTTTCTGCAGCCATCTCTAGACATGGTGACCTCTGCAGTGTGCTATGGGGGAGATGGAGGTGGAAGGAGGGCAGCAAGGTTCTGTGGATCTGCTGGCCCTGAGGGTGAGGATCGCTGTCACTTGCAGACATAGAAGCCAAGCTTCTGTGTTCACTGGTGAGCCGCAAACACACCCGGCACAGACCCGCCGTCCTGGTTTAGCGAGGCAGCCAAAGCAGATATCACTCCGCCAGGCACCTGAAGCTGGCTGTGGGCGGCCGGAACTATAATCTAAGCATCGGCAAATGTGGCCGGCTGCCACCAACTGTCCACCAATTGTAGAAAATTGTTCCAAAGTTCCATTGTGCCAGTAGCAGCACCGCCACTTGAGGCCCAGGAAAATGTTGCCCGTGGACTTGTTTGTATATTTTTTTAGTCCATGTGGGCAGTGTGTGACAGGCCACAGTGGGCCCCCTTTCCCTTGGGGCCCGTGTGCACTGCACACCCTGCACACATGGATGATACGCCATTGACCCAGAGATCTGTTGGCTGTATAAAACCAAAAGGTCCAATACCTTCAAAGTCGGGCAGAGCACTGTCATGCACCAACAGCATGGGACGGACGCCCTTCTGTTCCACTAAGTTCCGGGCTGCGGTCAGCGAAGTAAAGATCTCATCCTCGCTGATGTCGAATTGCAGCTTCCTCAGTCTCTCCAGAAGGGTCCTCTTATTCTCCTTGGTGGTATTGGTCACGAAGCGTATGGCGAGAGGAGCGCCACGTAACCTAAAGCAAGAAATAGAAGGGCGAGCTGAGAAATGTTTTTTTACAGGTAAGTCGAACTTTTTACACTTCGCCCCCATTCACAAGGAACGCGAATGTTTTTTCTGCTCACGCTCACAAGTTTTTCCTGCTTTTTTTTGTAGTACATGAGCAGAATTGTGCATTTTTGGCTCCATAGACATTCAACTGAGATTGAATGTGTTGTTCGAGCACTCCCTTTAAAACCACTTAATCTCTGGAAGATTTTAACCCCTTCATGACCAGGCCATTTTTTTTGCTATACAGCACTGCACTACTTTAACCCTTTGAGGACCAAGGGACTTATTTGTCCCATGTTTTTAATTGTGTGTATCATCTGATTAAGAACTTAAAACTTTTTTTTTTTTGGTTTGAGTCAAAATATTAGTTCTTATCAACAAACAACAAATGGATCTAGCTTTTTGCCAATTATTTCATGAAATGGCTTAGTTACAGCAACTGAAGTGTACGAACTTTAAAAACAAAAAAAATTGATTCTTTTGACGTTCCAAAATCTTACTGTCCTCAAAGGGTTAACCAGTAATTGTGCGGTCATGCATTGCTGTACCCAAACAAAATTCATATATGGGAGCCGCGGTTGCAATATGCCTTTCCCACGCTCCCCCCTCGGCCAGTCTGGGGATGTGATGTTGCTCGGTATTGGTGTTCTTGGACCCCTGCTCTTGGTGTTGGTATTTTTTTTCTTGTGTACTCCTCCTTCCTTTGCTTTTTTTTTTTTTGTTTGTTTTTGGTGTGGCAGTGGATAGCTGCCTTTTATGTAGGCCATAGACGGCTCGAAAACCGCATGTTTTTTCGCCCGGTAAGCGAAAAAAATCGGTCGTTCGTTAAACCGACATAACCACAAATGATTACAAAAATCAGCCGACCAAGTCATAAAGTTCATCCCATATAACAGCCAAAACTTCTGTTCTTTCCAGGTCATGGCGCATGCGCATATTTTTTTTTGTTAAAACGATCATACGATTTGGCCATCATTGCTGCGAAAATCGGTCGTTCGTTAAACCGACATAACCACCAACGATTGCAAAAATCGGCCGACCGAGTCATAAAGTTCACCCCATATAACAGCCAAAACTTTTGTTCATTCCAGGTCACGGCTCATGCGCATATTTTTTTTTTTTGTGAAAACCATCGTACGATTTGGCCATCATTGCTGAGAAAATCGGTCGTTTTCCAAAAATTTTCCAACATGACCGATAATCCAAAAGTGCAAAAAACCCGAAAACCGGCCGACCAATTAACCCACTAAGTGCGAAAATCGGCCGATTAATCTTTCGGACGCAAAATCGGCCGATTTTTGAACCGTCTATGGCCGGCATTAGTTTCTACTAATGTTTTGTCATTTATGGGCCATTGATAGCCCCTGCGTGGGCGCACCTTTTGCTCTGTTAGTGTTAGAGAACTGTTTATTCAAATTTTTGTATGTGCCATTGATATCCCCTGTGTGGGCGTGATTTGTTGCTCCCATTATAAACTGTTACAAATTATTAAAAAACATTGAAATACAAAATTCATAAAAATTTTTTTCACACAAATAGAGCTTTCTTTGGGTGGTATTTGATCACCACTGGGTTTTTTATTTTTTGAAAAGTAAAAAAAAAGACCGAACATTTTAGGGAAAAAAAAACAATATTTGTTACTTTGTGCTATAAAACATATCCAAAAAAAATCTAATTTTTCTTCGCAAATTTCGGCCAAAATGTATTCTGCTATGTCTTTGATTAAAAAAAAATGGGCAGCACAGTAGCTAAATGGTTAGCACATCCGCCTGGCAGTACTCGGGTCGTTGGTTCAAATCCCAACTATGGCACCACGTGCCTGGAGTTTGCATGTTCTCCCTGTGCCTGCGTGGGTTTCCTCCCACACTCCAAAGAAATGCTGGTAGGTTAATTGGCTCCTGTCTAAATTGTCCCTAGTATGTGTATGTATGAATGTGAGTTAGGGACCTTAGATTGTACACCCCTTGAGGGTTAGGGACTGATGTGAATGTACAAATATATATGTAAAGTGCTGCGTAAATAAGTACCTGAAATAAATAATAAATCCCAATACGTATATATTGATTGGTTGGCGTGAACGTTATAGTGCCTACAAACTATATGGTATATATACTGTATTTTATTTTTTTTTGTATACACTACTAAGGGCAGTGATCAGCAACTTATAATGGGACTGCGCTAGTGTGGTGAGCAATCTGACGCTTTCTGACACTGACATCACCAGTGACATTAATACAGTGATAGTACTATACAATGACACTGATTGGGAAGGGATTACCATCTAGGACGATCAGGAGGTTAAATGTTTGCCTAACAATGTGTAATGTGTGTAAAGTGTGCTGCTTTTTACTAATGCCCTTTGAGTTTCCCATCCAGAGAAACAGCGAGATCGATCCCTCTGTACAGAGCTCTGTGTTGATTGTCAACACAGAGCTGAGGGCTGTGATTGGACACAGCCAATCTGAAGGTCTCGGCCAAGAATCATTGCCCGGGACTTGCTAACAGGCTCCCGCTGAGTACAATCACAGAGGAAGTAGGCGGGTACGTTGCTTTGCCTCCACAGTACATTGCGGGCGGGTGGTCCACAAGTGGTTTTATTTCCCATTTCTGACCCAAGGAAGCTCACATGCTTTTTTGAAGCTTTATGTGAAAACTGACAGCAGGGGCCTGCGTCTCAGTCTAACAAACTGACTGTTGGCTTGCAGGAGAAAGCGATAAGGTGGTTGTACAGCCACCTGGACACCTCCACTGACTACCCAAAACACTGCCCCCTATGTCTCACAGGTTTCCATGATTATGCTCTCTCTGGGCGAAACTCATTTGGGTGGGTGGATGACAGGCAGGATGCCATGTTGTGTAAGAAACTCACCTTTTGAGAGCTTCCTGAGCTCCAGGGATCGCGGTGTCCTCAATATGCAGAGTGCCACTAAGATCCACCAGCACGGCTTTTATAGCCCGCCGAGCCGCCATCCCGAAGTGATCTAATGTGACAACAGATTATACTTTAAGCTAAACATACAACAGAGAAACACATTCGTTAAAGCAAAACGTGTGACTAAACCCCCAACAGTACAATCAGTCTGTAGATGCAGTAAAGCATGCTTGTTATACTCACTGTGGAACCTAAGGGGGTAATCCTCTGCATTGTGTAAAAAGGCTGTTTGATCCTGTCTTCTCTGCCCCTCCCTTTTTTCAAGCAAACATCTCTTATCTCCTGATAAGACAGACTGAACCATAGGCATTTGCACATGCTCAGTTTGGTGTGTATTGCTACAGATTTTGTTTATTTTCTTGGGAGAGTGCATGTGATCAGCATAGGGCCAATCAGCACTGTCCAGGCAGAGGTCAGGGGTCCTGCATCCTCCTAGAGCAGAAAGAAAACTCCTCCTACAAACTTTAACCAGTACTCTGCTGTACTCTGATAGAAGCACAAGACTGCTCTAACTGCTGATGAGAAAAGGTATTTAGCAGTTTATATTTACTAAAATAATTGCATTTGCATTTTTGTGTGTACTGTGGGAGACCAGATATAGTGAATGCAGGGTCCGGGGAGACCAGATATAGGGAATGCAGGGTGCGGGGAGACCAGATATGATGAATGCAGGGACCGGGGAGAGCGGATATAGTGAATGCGGGGTCCGGGGAGACCGGATATAGTGAATGCAGGGTCCGGGGAGACCGGATATAGTGAATGCAGGGTCTGGGGAGACCAGATATAGTGAATGCAGGGACCGGGGAGACCAGATATAGTGAATGCAGGGTCTGGGGAGACCAGATATAGTGAATGCAGGGTCCGGGGAGACCGGATATAGTGAATGCAGGGTCCGGGGAGACCGGATATAGTGAATGCAGGGTCTGGGGAGACCGGATATAGTGAATGCAGGGTCTGGGGAGACCAGATATAGTGAATGCAGGGACCGGGGAGACCAGATATAGTGAATGCAGGGTCTGGGGGGAGACCAGATATAGTGAATGCAGGGTCCTGGGAGACCGGATATAGTGAATGCAGGGTCCGGGGAGACCAGATATAGTGAATGCAGAGTCCGGGGAGACCGGACATAGTGAATGCAGGGTCCGGGGAGACCGGATATAGTAAATGCAGGGTATGGGTAGACCGGATATAGTGAATGCAGGGTCCGGGGAGAGCGGATATAGTGAATGCATGGTCCGGGGAGACCAGATATAGTGAATGCAGGGTCCAGGGAGACCAGATATAGTAAATGCAGGGTATGGGTAGACCGGATATAGTGAATGCAGGGTCCGGGGAGAGCGGATATAGTGAATGCAGGGTTCGGGGAGAGCGGATATAGTGAATGCAGGGTCCGGGGGAGACCGGATATAGTGAATGCAGGGTCCGGGGAGACCGGATATAGTGAATGCAGGGTCCGGGGAGACCAGATATAGTGAATGCAGGGTCCGGGGAGACCGGATATAGTGAATGCAGGGTCCAGGGAGATCATATATAGTGAATGCAGGGTCCGGGGAGATCATATATAGTGAATGCAGGGTCTGCGGATATAGTGAATGCAGGGTCCGGATATAGTGAATGCAGGGACCGGATATAGTGAATGCAGGGACCGGATATAGTGAATGCAGGGACCGGGGAGAGCTGATATAGTGAATGCAGGGACCGGGGAGAGCAGATATAGTGAATGCAGGGTCCAGGGAGAGCAGATATAGTGAATGCAGGGTCCGGGGAGAGCGGATATAGTGAATGCAGGGTCCGGGGAGAGCAGATATAGTGAATGCAGGGTCCGGGGAGACCGGATATAGTGAATGCAGGGTCCGGGGAGATCATATATAGTGAATGCAGGGTCCGGGGGAGAGCGGATATAGTGAATGCAGGGTCCGGGGAGACCGGATATAGTGAATGCAGGGTCTGGGGAGATCATATATAGTGAATGCAGGGTCCGGGGAGAGCAGATATAGTGAATGCAGGGTCCGGGGAGACCGGATATAGTGAATGCAGAGAACGGGGACAGTGGATATAGTGAATGTAGGGACCGGGGAGAGCTGAAATAGTGAATGCAGGGTCCGGGGAGACCGGATATAGTAAATGCAGGGTATGGGTAGACCGGATATAGTGAATGCAGGGTCCGGGGAGAGCGGATATAGTGAATGCATGGTCCGGGGAGACCAGATATAGTGAATGCAGGGTCCAGGGAGACCAGATATAGTAAATGCAGGGTATGGGTAGACCGGATATAGTGAATGCAGGGTCCGGGGAGAGCGGATATAGTGAATGCAGGGTCCGGGGAGACCGGATATAGTGAATGCAGGGTCGGGGAGACCGGATATAGTGAATGCAGGGTCCGGGGAGACCGGATATAGTGAATGCAGGGTCCGGGGAGACCGGATATAGTGAATGCAGGGTCCAGGGAGATCATATATAGTGAATGCAGGGTCCGGGGAGATCATATATAGTGAATGCAGGGTCTGCGGATATAGTGAATGCAGGGTCCGGATATAGTGAATGCAGGGACCGGATATAGTGAATGCAGGGACCGGATATAGTGAATGCAGGGACCGGGGAGAGCTGATATAGTGAATGCAGGGACCGGGGAGAGCAGATATAGTGAATGCAGGGTCCGGGGAGAGCGGATATAGTGAATGCAGGGTCCGGGGAGAGCGGATATAGTGAATGCAGGGTCCGGGGAGAGCAGATATAGTGAATGCAGGGTCCGGGGAGACCGGATATAGTGAATGCAGGGTCCGGGGAGATCATATATAGTGAATGCAGGGTCCGGGGAGAGCGGATATAGTGAATGCAGGGTCCGGGGAGACCGGATATAGTGAATGCAGGGTCTGGGGAGATCATATATAGTGAATGCAGGGTCCGGGGAGAGCAGATATAGTGAATGCAGGGTCCGGGGAGACCGGATATAGTGAATGCAGAGAACGGGGACAGTGGATATAGTGAATGTAGGGACCGGGGAGAGCTGAAATAGTGAATGCAGGGTCCGGGGAGACCAGATATAGTGAATGCAGGGTCCGGGGAGATCATATATAGTGAATGCAGGGTCCGGGGGAGAGCGGATATAGTGAATGCAGGGTCCGGGGGAGAGCGGATATAGTGAATGCAGGGTCCGGGGGAGAGCGGATATAGTGAATGCAGGGTCCGGGGAGAGCGGATATAGTGAATGCAGGGTCCAGGGAGATCATATATGGTGAATGCAGGGTCCGGGGAGATCATATATAGTGAATGCAGGGTCTGGGGAGATCATATAGGGAGAGCGGATATAGTGAATGCAGGGTCCGGGGAGAGCGTATATAGTGAATGCAGGGTCCGGGGAGAGCGGATATAGTGAATGCAGGGTACGGGGAGACCAGATATAGTGAATGCAGGGTCCAGGGAGACCGGCAATAGTGAATGCAGGGTCCAGGGAGACCGGATATAGTGAATGCAGGGTCCAGGGAGACCGGCAATAGTGAATGCAGGGTCCAGGGAGACCGGATATAGTGAATGCAGGGTCCGGGGAGAGCATATATAGTGAATGCAGGGTCCGGGGAGAGCGGATATAGTGAATGCAGGGTACGGGGAGACCAGATATAGTGAATGCAGGGTCCAGGGAGACCGGATATAGTGAATGCAGGGTCCAGGGAGACTGGATATAGTGAATGCAGGGTCCGGGGAGACCGGATATAGTGATGCCGGGTCCGGGGAGACCAGATATAGTGAATGCAGGGTCCGGGGAGAGCAGATATAGTGAATGCAGGGTCCGGGGAGACCAGATATAGTGAATGCAGGGTCCGGGGAGACCAGATATAGTGAATGCGGGGTCCAGGGAGACCAGATATAGTGAATGCAGGGTCTAGGGAGACCAGATATAGAGAATGCAGGGTCCGGGGAGAGCAGATATAGTGAATGTGAGGTCCTGGGTTTAGTAACACTTGAACTCTGTGCAAATATGGAAGACATGAATGAATAAAGCTCTGTTAGTCACTATTATATCATAAAATTTATTTTTTACATACAAGCTGTGTAAGCACCTGACGTTGAACTGGTACTAGAATCTTCTCATCACTTGTGCAGTGTGAGAGGAAGAAACAGTTCAGGGACAAGAGGCATGCTGATAGAAGGAGAGATCAGAGTGACAGAGCGATGAGCTCATCACTGTGCTGCTTCTTCTTTCGCTGTCCAGTCACAGGATGGGCGGGTTCAGGACAAGCTTGGATCAGAGGAAGTACTGTGAATGATGCTGGCCATGAGACTGAGGACATCTAGTGGCAGAAAGTAGATTGTAGAGTTCTGTCCTCAGGTCATGTTTTGGTGAATGTAAATGAGACGGTACTGGGATCGTACAATCAGATTGTAGTGTGCATGGCTGCCCTTAGAAGCAACACAAGCTGTCCATCAGGAGTGACAGTAAGGCCCTGTTCATATATGGTGTAGCAGGAGTGAGCATTCCCGCGCGAGACTTTTGTTGCGCAATGTTCACGCAATTCCGCATGTAGCGCATAGGGCAGCCCAGTCACTTCAATGAGTGTTTGCCGCCCAAAAAAAGCTCCTAATCCTATTAGGGCGAGAAGGTTACTGACATTTTTTAAACGCGTGTTTTCCTGTGATTGACAATCATGGCAGAATCGCATCGCGTATGCCACACGTTTTGCCGCGATTTGGAATTGTGGGCAGAATCATTGCGCCCATGCTTCCAAATCGCGTCATGTGAACGGAGCCTACGTTTTTTTCTAGACAGGCAGCAGTTCTTACGGCCCTCTGAAAAAGCGACCCATGTGTGGATTACTTTTCAGTAGGCCGTAAAGCCGCAGCTGACAGGCATTCAGAAGTGTGACGGGAGTGACTTTGGGTGGGGGGCCCATGGAACCCAGCTCACTTTAGAGAAGTAGGGAGACCCCTGAGTCAGCTCCCCATATCCCTCCTATGTGTAAGTCACCCTGTGCCTGTTAGGGTTGCAGGGTGAAATGTCCTGATATTGTGTAGACATGTATAGGTGGGGTGGGGGGTTGTTCATTGTACTGCCATGTGGTACATCCCATTGTTCTATTGTGTGTCTTGTTTGGGAGCAAACTATTATGATATGTATGTGTTTGTGTATTGGCTTGGTGGGGGGCCCATGGAACACAGTTCACTTTAGAGAAGTGGGGAGACCCCTGTCTCAGCTCCCCATATCCCTCTTATGTGTAAGTCACCCTGTGCCTGTTAGCAAACTATTATGGGATGTATGTATTTGTGTATTGGCTTGGTGGGGGGCCCATGGAACACAGCTCACTTTAGAGAAGTGGGGAGACCCATGTGTCAGCTCCCCATATCTCTCTTATGTGTAAGTCACACTGTTCCTGTTAGGGGTACAGGGTGGAAAGTCCTGCCATTGTGTAGACATGTATAGGTGGGGTGGGGGGTTGTTCATTGTTTAATGCCATGTGGTTGTATTCCATTGTTCTATTGTGTGTCTTGCTTGGGAGCAAACTATTATGGGATGTATGTGTTTGCGTATTGGCTTGGTGGGGGGTGTCTGCTGATGTGTTTCTTGTTGCTAGATTTGGTTTGCCCCGCCCTGTGTCATTATGTAGGGAGGGGGGGTTGTTCCCTTGAATGTATAGATCTTGTACCTGTGTTAAAATAAAGTAGTCTATTTCCTGATTTCTTTCAAGTCTGGTCTTGTATGGTCAGCGGTGGTGTCCGTGGATCTGTGTTCGGACAGGGAAGCGGGAGTCTAACGGAAGTACCCTAGTGCAGTTGGGGTCCAGTTCCGTTACAAGGAGGCACTACTGCTGCCTCCTAACACCTTTTTTTTCTTATTACAGGACAATGCCACAACTGCAAGAGTTTGTCTCGCATTTGCACTGCAGCTCCATTTATCTCAACAGGCGAGTTTGACAGGGGGTGTTGCCGCGGCAGACCGAGTTAAAAATGCTGCTGGCGAGAAGCAAAGCATCATAGCTGCGGCATGTGTACAGCCGTGTCAGACTGTAATGGTGGCGGTAAAACAACGGCTCAGCTGCCCCAGTGAAAAAACCCTAATAGGAGTTGGGAGAAACCATATACAGGAACACTGCAGGGGGGGCTTACAACAGCCACCTTTTTATCCATAGCATTTAAACTGTTGTTGTAACTATCTGAAAAAGTGTTAGCTGGAGTTGCCCTTTAATTTGTTTGTTGCTTACTTGAAGTCCATGATGCCCCGTTCACACTTGAGCGCTTTTCAGCTGGATGCTCAAAAATGCTCAACAAGTAAAATCCCATTATTTCCAATGGCCCCTGTTCACACTTGAGCGTTCTATCGCCTGTAGCAAAATGCCTGTCGCTCAAATAAGTACTTGCGCTACTTTGAAGGCAGATCTGAGCGTTTTACCCCAAGGATTTGAATGGAAAACGCCTGAACAATGGGTATGAGTGTTTTTTCAGCCCAAACTGCAGCTATTTCTATTGGTCACAGCAAAAACGTCTGAAAAATTGCCTATAGTATTTGAAAATCTGCTAAAAAAAACGCTTAAAGATGCCTTAAAAAAAAAAAAAAAAAACGCTTGAAAAAATGTCTGAAATAACTCAGCTCAGTTTGAATGGAGCCTTAACCCCTTGGCGCTAGCACCTCCCAGCCCTTTAAGGGTTTCAGAAGCCGGGAGGCGGGGTTTTAGGGTCATGTGACCACCGTGATGCGCTGTCACGGTGGTCACATGATCGGGAAAATGTCCCGATCGAAAGAGGAGATCGGGACCTTTCCGTGAGTACCAAACATGTGTGCTGGGAGCGCTCTCAGCACATATGTTTTTCCTAATTGCACAATGTGTGGCCACTCAGTGTCAAGGCCCAGACGCCGGGAGGCCACACATTTGCGTTCAGCCGGCGCCAAGAGGTTAAAGGCAATGTTCATCTAGAACCAGCGGCGTAACTAGAAATCTTCAGGGCCCCACTGCAAGAAACCATGAAGAGCCCCCTTGACTCCCAGCCGGGGGCCCTTTCCTCTAAGCCCAGTGGTGGAACACCAGGGCCCGGGCGCAAGTGCGACCTTTGTGACCCTGGTAGTTCTACCACTGGTGTCAGTAGGTTTTATTTATGTGTTTATTTACTTATTTTTTTATATATTTTTTTTAACCATTTCTTTTCTTTTTTTCAACAATATTTTCTTAAATTATTTTTTACAATTTTCTGGAGATATCAGGGGCAGCTCTCCATTCTGACAGATCCTTCGCAGCAGCCGTTGGGAGAGGGGAACCTGGCAGAGCTGAGGAGGGGCCGAGAAAGAGCACAGGGGGGCGAGGGTTGGAGGCATAGCTCAGAGGGGAGGGCTAGAGAGCACAGAGGGGGCAGAGATCAGGGAGGGTTGACAACTCTGCTGTGCGATTTCACTGCAGAACCGACAGCGTTGTCACCCTAACAAAATAATGCATCTACTGGAGGGATCAACAGGTAAAAACCCATTAAGTGGCAGACGGCATCATTAATGCCATTTTTGACATATGGAATACATTGTAAAAATCAAGGCACTACGCCCAGATTTCTTCCCCACAGAGGCGGACTGCCGGTGCTCTGGCTCCATGTGTCCTCCCAACACAAGCACAACTTGAAGATGAGGATTAGGAGAGCCGGTTACTCGTCTTCCCGATTGGTTCACTTTATTAACCCCCCTGGCGGTATTCCCGAGTGTAGCTCGGGGTAAAGTTTCAGTGCCAAAAGCGGTAACCCCGAGCTACACTCGGGAATACACTGCAGCGTTGCTCAGGGATTCCCTGCAGAGCTTACCTTGTCCTTCGCTCCCGCGATGTGTCCCCTGCAGCGTCCCCGGCCATCTCCTCCTGCCGATGCTGGCATCCGGCTTCCGTGTTCCATTCCCTGCGACGTCGGGACGTACGGGCGTTGGAACCGGCGGCAAATTTGAAATTTTTTAAAAAATTTCATTTTTTAAAAAATGATTATTACATAGTAAAACATTGCTGTTTCAAACCATTTCACATACATTTTGTCCCGAGTGCTTTGTCCGGCGCCCTGCCTGCATTTTTACTGTCCTTTCTGCCTGGAAACTGAGAAACGTCCATGGCGTCCAAAAAGCGTCCCTTTAGGTCAAAAGCGGTTTTAGACCGGCTAGAGAACAGCGATAGTAAATCAGAACCACTTGCAGAATTGAGTGATAATGATTCCTGGGGGAAATTCCTCATCAGACACTGAAAACGATTCTGCGACTTTGCTCAGTGATGTCCGAACTTGGCGCTATATTTCAAATTTCAGTGTTTTTGGTTTGATTATATTATTGAATTAAATTTATTATTATTATTATATTATTATTTTTATATGATTATTTATTAAATTATAATTTATGATTTCGTGTTTCAGATTTTATCATCCCCGGGATGTTTACTAGACTCTTGTTCGGACAGATTTCAGTGAGTTATTCCTAAAAATTACAGCCTACAATAAAAAAAACTACATATTTCCATGCAAAAAAATGGTACCGCTTTCAGCACCAAAAATCTGAAATAATCATACCGCCAGGGAGGTTAAGCAAGTGACATGTACAGATACAATAGGTTACGCGTTTCAGCAATAAGCCTTAGTCAAAGCCACAGCTATAACTAAGGCTTATTGCTGAAACGCGTAAACAATTGTATCTGTACATCTTACTCGCTTAATAAAGTGAATCGGGGAAGACGAGTAGCCAGTTCTGCGTATCTTCATTTTCAAGTTACAGTATACGTTGGCAGCAGTGGGGTGGGGGGTTTATACGCACTCCAAGCTGCCACGG